AATCTCGAGGCATTGATATAACTTTCAAATACGAATGATTTCCTTCTTTTTTTTGGAGGGGGAATTGTGTGTGATTTATAGGATTAAAAATTAGAAGTGGAAAGCTGTATCATTTTACCTTATACGCTTACTTATTTTTTTATCATTAAAAGCTAGAAATGGTTCATGAAAAAATCTGCTATGTAGTATATTGCCATATATATTACCATCAGATATTCTTTTTCAGAATTCAAAAAGAAAAACTAAATACTAGCTTGAGGCATGAATTTGAAAAGAGTATATTATTAAGGCTATACATATGTCAGAGGAGGAATAACCTTTTATTTGTGAAAATGACGTCCAAGGAAAATACTTTACCCATACCATCTACGTTACTGACAAAGTAAATGTTTAATATTTCCAATTCCCTTTTTTGTGAGAGAAATGGTAGAAATTCTAGACTCGAAACAGCAAAAGAGTGTGTAACACAATGGTAATATTTGAATGGTATTTATATATATTACTATAATACGCGCAGACCAAACGTCGAGACACAATTGTACTTTTCCATTACTTTCCGTTTTCGATTCATGCGGATAAAAAAAACAGATTTGTCTTCTGCTTCTTTAGTTTATATTAAGGCTTGAATGTTTGCCTTTCCTTTGGGTAGATCAATGGTTCCCAACTGGGGATAATAAAGCCCCTTCTGGGGGTAATGAGGCAATATCTGAAAGTAATAGTTTTTCAGGTAAATTTATAGATAATAAATAACTGGCATAAAAACTGACAGCACGGCTAACCAGCTGATCCAGAGGCGGGCCAAAACTACCTCCTGCCTTCAGACAGACAAAATACCTGAGATATGTTTGAAAAAATCTGGCTTTTCCAAATTTCATTATACAACTTAATCATGACTTCATGATTAAAATGCTTTATTAATCTCATATCGAGTCTCGATGGGGCCTGGGGACGTTCCTCTACATGCGCTAGGTCTCGGACAAGCTCATCCATTATTAGATCTTGGTCGTAATCAAAGTCATTTCCTGTGGCAAAGTGTATAGGTTGCAACTCAGCCGCTTCCTTGGTAGTCAGGAATGTTTGATGGCAATTGATGTTTGTATATGAAAAATGCCTTGCGAGTGCATTAGTAATGTCTTAAGATGAATCAAAGTTGTTTCCCTTTATGAGTGATGTTTTTAATTTTGAAAGACCAAACCTATGATATTGTGGTGTTGCTGTTAATTGTGGAGACAAAGCGCCTCTAGGAGTCTTTGCTTGTCTAACTGTTCTATGAGCTCTAGCTCTTGCTACTTTGTGATTGCAAAAGTTCTCGTTTACCATGTTATTTTTGAAAAGCCTGTAGGCCCTGTTGCGTTCACACAGTGCCCTGTAGCAATAAGGTGTCCTTCATAGAACTCTATGCTTAACGCTATCTGTCAGCAATGGATAACATTACTACAGCTAATATACAATTTTGAACATTGTTTATTTTGTTATCAATGGTTTCTCCAAGAACTTCGAGCTTGACGCTCCTTGTGAGGGCGACCCAGTTTGCTCTTTTTACATTAAATTTAGGTGCTGAAGGCGTTCTTGTTGTGTTGCATGAATATTTAATACAAATAGGAAAGAGATCGCTTCCCAACAAGTCGCCAACGGTGTGCCACAGGCACTTGGTTGCTATTGTTGAAGAGACCAGAGATATATCAATGAAGCTCAAAGTACCGGCTTTACCGTCCACCCGCGTCGGGCTGAACGATAATAGAACCAGATCAGAATCATTAATCAACGAAACTACTTGCTCTCCTCTACCATCCGACCGCAGGAAACGCCATAACGTATGATTAGCATTAAAATAACCTAATATTAACCTATCTTGTGGCAGACTAACCTGAAAAGCAAAAAGCTCATCATAAATCATCATATTACCAGGTGGACAATTAACTGAATATGTAGTCTGAAACGTACTAAAGATTTTTACTTTGCATGCGACAAACTCCAAAGTAGAATCGATCGCCACTTCAGTGAAAGGGAGCTTTGGTGGATGTGCATGGCAACTCTGCCTCCTCGCCTACCCTCTCGATCCTTCTGACACAGATGGTAGTTCCTTAGTGAAACGACATTATCAGATTCAAAACTATAATATCGTTAGCATAAGACGAGGCAAATGATCTTAGGTCATTTACTTTAGTTCTAAGACTTCTACAATTCCTCTATATAACGGTTAACGTGAAAATTACGTTTTGTGGAGTTAGGAAGTGCCTTGTCCGCCGGTTTTAATTTTGTTTCAGGGAGGGAGGTTCGTCCTCCTCTCCCTCGTTACCCAGGGACCTCCCATAGGTATTTTTGAGACAATAGCCTCTATGCCCTGCGTCTCTCTGCCAAGGAAACGCCCAGATGATCTGTTCGGAGAAACAGACCAAAACCAGACAAAGTCCTAGCCTGGACGAGGTGTGATGCAGATTGTGGTTGGGTATCATCATCTTTATAATGATGTTTTCGCTGGGCTGACTCAATAATTGTTAAATTGAATTATTTAAATCTTTAATTTCATTCGTTAACCGTTTTTTTCAGATCAGCATTTTTTAAAATCATTTAACCGATATCTCTTGACTAATACTGCTTGCACTGGAAGTGCTGTTAATTGCTGCTGAAGCATAAGAAGTATTGGGTTGCTGGTCAAAGCTTCAACTTTCCTCTTGGCCTCACGGTAACTAACATCATGCCATCTCATGTATGCTAATATTTCAGTCTCCTTCTTCAAGCTGATGCACTCAGCATAGCCAGATTGATGGGCTACTCCACAGTTAGCACACTTCATAGTGTTTTCAATACATTCAGCAATGTCATGAGCACCAACATTTTTTACCACAAGTTAATTTATTAGTATCTTTATCATTGCAGCGTAATGAGGGGATGAAGAAAAGGAAAAGGAAAGAGGGAGAAGAGACCCTGCAAAATCAGCTTAGGCGAGGGCTGAGGACCAAGGCAAGGGTGATCCCTACATTGGGTCCCAGTCTCCGGCTCTTAAGCCCCCCACGGCAACAAGGCGCGAGGGATGGGGGGATATTGACAAAGATAGTAATAAAAATGAAAAACAAAAACAAAACGTGGGTACCGAAAGGCTAACGCGTTTTACGAGGTACAAAATGCAATATAAAGGTTGCTGGAATGCAGTGCATGGAGATAACTCATCTTTTCCGGTGGCAATTAGGGTGACGCGCGACACCCAAAACTTGTCCCAAAACCTGTCTCGTGTTATTTTACTGTATTGGTTAATTTTTCGACTAGAACACTGTCGAATATATCCTAGATGGTGGGTTGTGTTTCATTACAGATACTCAATTTAAGTACGAACAGGTATGAAAATAATCGAGTTAGGAGGAATGCCTCTGGCAAGGCGAAAAGTGTTTACCGCCTACTTAATTCCTGCCTCGTGAGAGATTTGGAAATATACACGATTTTTAAAAAGCAATGAACAAATAATAAAACGTTGCCCCCAGATCCATTAGCATTTTAAAAAAATTATCTTAAATATTTGCATCTGGCGATTTCTCAGCACCATTTGCCCGCCAAATGAGAGGTTTTACTATATCCGAGTTTGTAATTTATAGCATTTACGGTTTCATTATTTTGTAACAGCAATTTTGCTATAATGAACATGTCTAACAATGAGGCGGAAACTGTTCAAGAAGCACAATGCAGACGGGATTACTAAGTGAGAAGAGTTGTTATCTAATGTTTATTACAAAATGTATAACCCTAATTTTGAAGTCTCCAGAAGGGATACGGTCTTATGCGTCTTAGGTTATTGGTATTAATCTTTCACACTCCATATTTATTTATTCACAAAAAAAGGCTCCGCGACTGTCTCCCCGAGTGAAATATCCAGATTGAATCAAAAGTTGTGAAATAAACGAACTATGATTAAGTTTCCCCGAGTAACTCCACTTTTCATCGCACAAGCAATTTTTAAATTTAAGTTATATTCAATTCGATTTAACGATAAAGTATGCTAATCAAAGAAAAGAAAAAACTCCCCGGTATTAAAAATCGAAAAGGCATATAGTCAAATTAGTTTTTGTCGACGTAATCGGGAAATAAACTATATCCGGTTTGAAACCCATACTTGAAGCACCAGAGCAATTGTAAGATACTTTACAATGTGTGGCGTCATAACATGAGGTAAGGAAGTGCTCGACATCAAAGGTCATATGGCGCTACGGTTATGATTAGGGTAAAGTTACAGGCTGAATAGAAGTATTAAGGTAGTGAAAAGGGTAGAGAGGGGGAGATCCGAGGACATAGCTTAAGGTAAAGGTTGTTAGAAGGGGAAGGAGTTAAGGGAACAGGGAGAATTATGATAAATATTGTAGTGAAAAGGGCAGGAGTGAGTTTAACGATTAGAATAAGTGGACAGAACAAGGGGTTGAAAATGGAGAAGGAAATGACAAGTCTTCTTCATTAGTAATATATTGGTGAGAGTTAGGTCTGGCCTGTCTAGACGAACGATCGCGATCGGCTGGTCACACGAAAGTTATCCCAGTAAGTCTTTCTCAAAAAAAAGTAATATATTGTGTAGTGGTTAACCATACAGTAGGTATCTTGAGTACTACTTATGAAGCACCTAAAATTAAGGCAAAATACCTTTGCAGATAAGCCAAGTCAATCTTTATGTCAAATACTGCGTCTGAATGAATGCCTAGGGATAACCTAATTGCACTCAAGCAGTCTTAAATTGTAAATTGGATACTAACCAAGCTCAAAAGCCGACATTTCTCGGTCACTATGTATAAAGAATACAAGTTTACCTTTTTTTCTTAGACAATGTTTGGAATGAAAATTTATGCACAATTTGTGGGAAAATAGCTGTTATTATTTTGTTTTGGTCATATGCTCCTAGTGGGTTACTTATCTATGCATCATCTTCCTGGACAAAATGCATTTCATGTTCATGTTCAATATTGTTCAAATTAAACCTCACTGGGCAATGATTTGGTGATTTAAGGATAAGGGAAAATATATTCACTGTCCTTATTATTTATTTAGACACTGGCTTGAACTGGAGGCTCATAATTGTCTGGGCGATCAACCCTGGATCCAACATCCTCACCGCTGGCAATGGCCTTGCCACTTTCTCCGTGCATCTCCAGCAACTTGCCAAGGTCAAAACGAGGCTTCTTCAGAACCTTGACCTGCAATAAAATAATTCTGATTAACAATCAATCTTTCTAAGCTTTGTAACATAATATACCTAACAGATACACATACCTATGCCTTCTTAGCAATGACAGTTTTTTTTTTCTGAAGTATTACAATGAAAATACTTATTCCAAGACAGATTTACTAGTCCTAACAACTATTATACATCCTCTGTTTTTTATACCAATCTTACCTTACGAATGTGTACATCCTTAAGGGGGTAGATGGAGTTACAGGCCTTGCGGATATCATCAGCCATTGTGTCAGGGATGAGCTTGTTTACTACTTCCTTCAGCTCGCTGCTGGCCACTTCACGGGTGATGATGTCCACCATCTTTCTGCGGATGTTCTTAACCTGCATGTGCTGGGCATAGGCAGTCTTCTTTGTCTGACTAGCCATCTTCTCAGTGAAGGCCACACAGAAGACACGGAGCAGGTATCCGTCGGTTGTCTTGACATCAGTGTTTCCCTCAATCAGAGTCTAGAATAAATAAAATTGTAAATTTTAGACTAGAAAACATAACTTAAGAAAAAAGAAATCCCAAAGGGCAATTATTGAAATTGATCAGTAAAATATTACTTAAATAGCCAATTGTTCCAGCTTATCTTAAAAAGTTCATTGGTCTCTCAAACTGCATTATCAAAAGATTCTCCTGGAACTACACAGTTTTAAACATTGGTAAGACTAACTTTCAGTTTAATAGGGATAGGGGTTTTCAATTAAGACTTTAGAGAGGGAAAACATTGAATTTTTCACTACAGAGATTACAAATGATTAAATGAACTAAATAAAATCACTTTAATCTCTAACCTGCCACTTCTTGACCATGGACCTCATCTTGTCAGTGGTCAGACTGAAACCATGGAAGTTGCAAAGAACATTCTTGCCCTGGACCTCTTCAGCGATGAGGCGGAACTTACGGAAGCTCCTCTCAGCATCAGTCTCATTCTGGAGATCAGCCAGTGAGACCTCAAACACACGGCTCTTCAGACCCTCAGAGGCAATTTCTAAAATATAATTAAAACTTGGTTAGTTCTGCTTGAAATGAATTCAGGGATGGAAAAACAAGGAAAATGCTCAAAGTGAATTTACCCTTTTTCTTTAGGTACATCTGTTCTCATCTAGTTAAAGATTCTATACACATGTTTAGCCATCAAGGAGTCAAATCTCTTGGCCTACTTGATCAAGAGTTTACCTATTCCTTGACATTGAAAGATGACAATAGCATTTTATCTTGCACATTGTAAAGATTATTCAATACAAATTTTTCCAGAGTAAAAACTCGTGCTACCCCTACTCAAGATTTCCCCCATAATCTTAAACAGAGCATCCTGGTGAATATAAGTTATTTGTTTATCCTTTGTTAGCTGGGGATGCTACACCAGTGGTTATTTAAAATCAACATCGGACATAATGTAGATTTTCTGCCAGCAAGATCTCTGCCATGTTTATTTAAGTATTGCCATAGCTTAACAGCCATTCACTACTGACTATACTGCCTTTACACTTTGCAGCTGGTTGGCATCTAGCAAATGCCAAGCAGATATACCCAGTAAAACTATTATGGTATTTATATGGGAAGTAAAAAAAAAATTGCATCATTAGCCCAATGCCGCCGGGGAAAATGAAGAAAGAAAAGAAAAGAAAAGAAAAGAAAAAGGGGAATTGCTGTGCCCACTTTCTATGTTTTTCGTGAAATGTCTGCCAATAGATGGCTCTACTAGCGCCTGACTTGAAATGGCGGGAAAAGTGTATTTTTCACTAGTGCTATGAAAATCGATGGTGTTATTTTTATCAAACATAATAATTTTTATAATGTTTTTTAACATTAGTAACAGCAAAATAAGAACATAAAATATTCCGTAAATCAAAGAAACGGGTAAACAGGCGAGATTGGCGGTACTCGTAGTTGGCTCATTGGTGATTTAGTACAAGTGTTGCCATCTATACGTAAAAACAATCAAACAAGTACTCACAGTGGGCATAGCACGTACGTACACATCATACCCGGCGGCATTGGGTTAGTAAATAATGAAGACCAAGAGCAATTCTCTTAACATCAAGAAGATGTGCCATTTACATCCAACAATCTTTCAAAAAAATAATTAAGACACTTGACCTAGTTTATCAAATTACAAGACAAATTGTTGGGATTTGCAGCCTATATCACCCTCCATGTGATTATGCTTGACAAGGTTTCTTAGGGAGTGTTGGTGGAAAAGCCCCATACCAAGCCTTCCCTTGTGCCTGAATTGCATGTCCAGTTACCGCAACTTAGATGGTTGAATGAATTTTGTGACATGCTGTTAGGGACAGACTGAAAATGTGTCTGCACTGTAAAGAATCTTAATTTCCTTTAAAATGGTGTTGATATCAAAATTAAATGAACCATTTTCTTCTCTATAATTTGATAAGTATATTAATGACACCCAACTCCAAAATCACTTGTAAAAGTGAAAATGTTGCAGTCACTAGTACATGAAATGACCATCTGACAAAAATACCACAAATAATGGAAAAAGATAAAAATGAACTCAAAGCCAAAGTTCCCTTAGTATTCCTGAGTTCCAGCTCTTATTATGTTACACTTACCGAGGTGAAAGCGGTTTCCCAGGAAGGTTGGGGATAGAGCCCCCCCCCCCCCCCATCTGTGTCGGTCTTGGTAACAACCTATTAACCCATTCCCACCGGGGAAAATGAACAAAAAATGGGGAAAATTCTGTACTCATTTTTTAAATATTTTTGTGAAATATCTCAGATGGCTCTGCTAGACCTGATTTCACCTTTCCTTGAATTGGCGGGAAAAAATGTATTCTTACTAGTGCTATAAATATATAGATGGTGTTATTTTTAACAGCAAATTAGAATAACGTTAAATATTTTTGTAAATTGATGAAATGGGTGAACGGCGAGACAGGCAGTACTCGTAATTGGCTCATTGGTGACTTAGTACAAGTGTAGCCATCTATGTGTAAAAACAAATCGACTCACAATGGGCATGGCATGTACGTACATGCCATCCCCAATGGCAATGGGTTAACCTATTTTCGTCAGGTGAAGAAAAACTACGCTCTGGAAATTAATGTCAATGAGCCAACTTGGAGCGTGGGAGTTCGCTATATCATGCCAAAGGCCTGGCTAATAGCCACAGCGTACAGCCACATTCCACAGATTGAGCAAGTTTGTTAT